GGGCTTAGTGGGCATGACCTGCGAGGGCCCAGACGGGGCCAAAACATGCAACACAACACAATCGTCTTCAGGATCGCTGCACTATTGAACATGTGAAAAACTAGCACACATCACATTGCTTACGGGCCCAGAACAGGACCCGGGTGCACTCCGCTGAGGATACCCGGCAGACTAAAGCCTTATGAATAATTCTGAACATCCTCTCTCTTTTTCCTGCCTGACTTAAGAAAGCAAGGCCTTAAAAAAAAAACACAAATTAGACACCTCAAATTCTGAGTGTCATTGTCTGGAAACGACAAAGAAAAGGCCTATTAGTCTTACAAGACTGTCTAAAAATATGTGTTGATGTCGTTGGCACCATGCAGAGCAGAATTAGAGGCAAAGGCGAAGGAAATGACAAGACATTTGCTCGTGTTTTTAATTTCCTCAGTCGTTTATGGCCATACATAACTGCTTAAATTGGTTTGTAACATATGCTCTCCTTGCTCTGTTTGCTTCCTTCATTTAGTGTGACTGAGTCTCTTTATTAGTGATTATCCCCCCAAAAGCTGCAGGAATGCACAGCATCAACACCTCATCATGTAATTTAGCCGTATAGTAGGAATGAGAATATGCAAATAGTGTTGCAGCAGCAAATATGTCCCCGGGCTGCTTGTCCAATGACACAAATCATCAATTAAGATCTCAGCAGGGATCGGAGGATGAACTAAATTGGCATTATTTCTATCTGACAAACTGTAGATGCAGTGTGTGTGTGTGTGTGTGGTGTGTGTGTGTGTGTGTGTGTGTGTGTGTGTGTGTGTGTGTGTGTGTGTGTGTGTGTGTGTGTGTGTGTGTGTGTGTGTGTGTGTGTGTGTTTGTGTGTTTGGTGTGTGTGTGTGTGTTTGGAAATGTATTCCCAGCTGAATTTTACCACTTTGAGACGCAGACAAAAGCTTTACAATCATTTGAATTGTGTTAAAAAAAAAGTGAGCGAGCGTCTTTAGGTCTTTCAGCACTCGCAGCAGCAACAAAAACAACAACAACGGTGTCTTTCAAAGCATCGACTCTCACAGTTTAGCTCCTCGTGGGGATTTAAGCTCGCAACTCACTCTGCACCTGCCCAGTGTGTCTGACGGGAAGGAGCTAAAGTGGTCTAAATCGCCATTGTGATTTCTCAGGGAAGCAGATGATTAGTAAACAAATGGTTCAGGCATATTTAATTAAGCTAATGTACTCCCAATGCTCACAATGTAGTCTGCACTGTGATGAGTTTTTTTATGTTTTACCTTGGACAAATTACAAATAAACCTTCACAGTTAAGTTACAGTCCTGTTATATACTTTATGGACTTTTAAGATTCTCATTTCTGCGTACATATGGGACATTAACTTGATATGTGAAGGGCAGATATTAAAGCTCCACTGCAAAAACTCAAATCTCAGCAAGTGTGTCTGTATACAAACATCTCATTACACTCATCATAAGGCACCTGACAAGTCCACATAAACATCTTATTGCATGATATTTTACTTTTAAGTCCTGAAATGAGACTTAAATATCTAAATTAATTAGTACATCTCATTTAAAGACACTGAACAAGGACAATTTTCTTGCTGCAGTACCAAATATTTACTCACTATAAGCAATTCAGGCCTTTTTTTGCCTGTAACATCCTGTATTAAGATGTTTATCTGGGCTTCTCATGTATTGTGGCTTGTATAAAGTGTATTGAGATATTTTTCAGTGGAAATTAGACAAACACACTTGCTGAGATTCGACTTTACGCAGTGTGACAGCAACTAGGCAGAGTACCGTAAAGAAGCAGAGTGGACATAACTTGCCGCACAGAAACGACCAAATCACAACAAAAGTACAGCTCAAAATCAGTGTCTCTTCTTTAATTTATTGCAAGACCTCTACCATCAATTTCAACAGGGCCTCTGTGTTAAAGACACGCTGCCCAAGAGACATGCACGGCTCCGTCAAACGTCTCATATGAGTGAAAATAGTCATAGGAGTAATTTGGAATAAAGTAGTCATCTGAAATGGAGAGTGGTGAGTGGCACACAAAGAAGGCCAGTGTTCAGTCAGAGAGGGTTTTTTTGCAGCACAGGGAAGGCTGAGAGTAAACATTAGACCTCAATGACATGCAGCAGGAGAAACACTTCTATCAGAGATAAATTCACAAAGACATGCATCAAGGATAAGAAACCTTTTTTCTTTTTTTGGAGCTTTTAAGAAAATGATGTGTGGGAAATAGTTGTGCTTTGCTTCTCATTTTTCTGTGGAGTAAAATTTCCGTTGAAAGCTGCAGTTTATAAACAACAAACAGAAAACTAAAGACTGATCACTGCCAAAATCTGCAAGTAAAAAACGATAAATCCAGAATTAGAAACCAAGCTTTTTTTACATCACAACCTAAATGCAACACTTCCAACAATAAATGATATATATATGTTTATTTATTTTTTCAATTTGAAATGAACATGATTATTTATTTATTTTTGCCACAAACTTCAACAACCACAAACACATACAGAGGCTAATTTAGAGGAAAACATTTATTAGGACCCAAATGAAAGACAAAAAAGAAAAGGTTTTTAACTACATATCAAAACTGAGTGGAAGTTAAATTACAATGAAAATCCATTAGCGTTGTTTTAACGAACTTTCCAGTCAAAATAAGTCATTTTCACTCAATTCAACAGCACACCGAGTTAACTCATCAATAGAGCAAATATGTAAAAGCAGTACAAGGATAACACATTGCGTTTTTTTTTTTAAAGACATTCAGTGCAAATTAAGAAAATAATCAGAACGTGTCACTCCCGGTGCTATAATTGACAAAGCCGTAGAAATCAAACGCAGCTTCCTGCAGCAGTACGCGCAATCTGTCCGACCAGTCACTCTGATTTTCACTATTCTCTCAAATTTCAACCTTTCTGCACAAAAGCACGCGTCGCTAAATCTAACAAATCCTAAACATGTGCACCACAAAACATTACCGACACCTTTTATTTAAATCCAGACGCCGCATCAAGCAAAAGGAAATAAAAGAAAATCCACTGGTCTTTCACTCCAGCACAAAAATGCATCTCCTCTGCTTTCCCTCTCTCTTTTTTTCTCCCCCACCTCCTCTCCCCCTCCCTCCCTCCCTCTCTTTAGCTCTCCCTCCCTCACTCTCCCTCTCTTTCCCTCCCTCTCTCCCTCTCTCTCTCTCTCTCTCTCTCTCTCTCTCTATCTCCCTCACTGTGGCCTGGCTGTCTGTCTGCCTGTATGAATAATGTCCTGCCTTTTGTAATGAAGGGGGGGTAAAGGGGAAAAAAGGACGCTGAAGTGGTGAAGCCCTGCTCCCATGCACTGACATTGAAAATGAATGACAGCTTACCTGCATGCCAATCTTCATCAGACTGACACTGGGCTGACAGCACAGCCTATACTCCTCCACACAGCCGCTGACGTCAGCCATGCCAGGCCCCTCCCACCTCCATCTCAATCTCCGCTCCCCGTTTTCCCAACACCGGGCTGCTGATGCCTTCCAGTGTCCGTGGGAAATACGGCAATCGAGTGTGGGGCTCCACTAGGAACGGTATCCCCCGCAAACATATTCTGTCTAGATACAGGCAGACTTTGGATACAGACTGAATACTGGTTCAAAACATAAACCTGGAGCAACAACTAGGCTATATGCTTCATTCTTATAATCTGGTTGTTCCTATATCTAGGCTATATGTTTATTTCAACACTGCACTCTTCAACATTTTACTGTTGTCTTATTGCTTTGATTACTATGCATTTTTTTCTTTAAGCTTATTACACTTGAAGGTTATATAGGGTTTTGATTTACTTGCCTACGTTACATTTCTAGAGCAATGTAAAACTGGAGTCGAATTCATTTTATGGCAAATAAACTCATTCTGATTAAATCTGATCAGCTTGAATTCTTCATTTCAATTTAAAACAAAAGACTATTACTCATCAAAGTGTCCAATATCAACCAAAAATGCTCAAGACATGTGTTCTATTTTTCTGTGAACACAAGTTAACAAAGGCCAACACTGGAAAGAAAATAGCCAATAGCTTCCACATCGTTTTCAAAGTGAGGCAACAGCATCCCTGATAATGTCTGAACCTCTGGTTTTGTGATGATTGCTGCAGTAGCCTACAGTCTGTGGTAAATCTTTTTGTTGTTGTTGTAGTTGTTCTATTATAGCCTCTCATTGTGCAAACTGTTACCAAAAACACGTTTTGTGTATAAAGCAGGTTAAATCCCCATTTCAACATTTGTTTATTACTGTAATGAAGTCAGCTAATAAGGCTATATTTTAATTTCAGTAACTTCCACACCTTCCTGATTAACCAGTGGCAGAGCAGGAATACTTCAAACAGAAACAAGACCCAGGACAGGAGGTTATGAGTAAAATCATAAAATAACACAGTGCGATACATCTCAAGAGGGTTACTGAAGGCGACACATTTCTTCTTCTTCCAATAAGAAGCGGTGGCAGATCTGTCCGGGGCCCCTGTCAGTCCGTATTAATATTTATAATGAAAACCACAACAAAATCAGATCCCCAATAAAAATAAGTGCTATTGTGACCAAACGACCGTTATTAAGAGAAACGGAGATTTGGAAACGGGGTTCTTCTAATAATATCCTGTGATTATCCCTCGATATGAATTTTACTAAAGCTCATTTTGCCAATTTGTTTTTATTTTTTTATTTGGTTAAGCCAAAGATAGCCTTCTACAAAACAGTAGGCTACAACGTTACGTTCCGATACAGCCCTGATGGTTTGGAAAAGAAGCCTACGATTATACAAAACATAAAAGAAAAAATAAATACATCACTCTGCGTGTAGAAAGAACAGAAAAGTAGGCTAAAGTCTGGGGAACAGTCAAACTAACTGTGGTAGTTTTGCAACCCGTCTGTTTTAAGACTTTTCAGTAATAACGCATTTGATTGGCCTGTTTAGAAATGTCGTCCAATCAAAATCCTGCTTTCTGTTACCAGGAAGCAGAAGACGCTGAGGACCGTATCCGCTGAGCTGCTTAGCTTTTGCTCAACAATTGTCGGATTAATATACAACTAACATTTCTGTAAACGGGAGAAAACAAACATTAAACATTTGAAGTAAATATCTCATTGTTCACCTTTTTTAAAATGTCACTAACGGGCGAGTGAACGTCACTGAAACGCAGCTCAACAGAAATGGGAAACAGTGTGTCAGAAGTCGGGACGGGTATTATCATCATCGCGCTGGTTTGGATAGCTGCTTCTGTGTTTGGGATGATGCTGCTGAGAGCATCTGGAACCGCAAAGTGAGTTACAAGAGGAACACACACACACACCCTTTGCAAGAATCACTCAGATGATATGTATTAATTATACCTCTGATAGGAGGCTTTATATCGCATGTGTGAATCAGGCTGTGCCAAATCCCGTTGGCTTTTCGACCACTTCAATGTTGGTTTGCTTGTCGGCTAAAAAACACACATTAAAGAAGAAAATTAACTTAAAGTGGGGCATTAGTAGCATTATAACCGAAATTCGGCGTATGTCTGACCCAACAGGTAGACTTTTATTCACTTTAAATACCCCAAATCTATACTTTTTGTTGGCCTATCTCTATCAAGAGAGATCAATTTAAAAAAAACTACAGTTTTGGTGGGTTTAGCAACTCCATGCTGTTATACTGATTGTTTGTGTAACTGGCACCTTCCAGTTGATATACAGGTTACATGTGCTGTCCCTTTACATCAAACATAGGAGTCATTAACCCATGCATTGACTCACTGTGTCAGAAAACATGCAAAATGGGGTAAAACATGGTGCTTTTTATTTAATTGGAAAGTGAAAAACGGTTTTAAGGTATACTTAAGAAGGCTAGTGTTTACATACATCATTAGTATAATTCATTTACCAGGGAGAATCCTATGATTCTAATCCTGCAAAAGTATAAGAACATGTGTGGTACTGCATCTCACACTACAACGGACTGACCCCATAACCCATTTAGTACAAGTTAAAGGGACATAAATGCATTTATGATGCATCACTTGGTAAAAACCAGTTCAGTTAAAACTTTTGAAGCAATCACTATCACCAAAGTACTACTTTCTGTATCCTTCAAAGTTGACTTTTAAATTGCCACAATAGTAATCAGGTAGAAGTTCTGAAGCTCACTTCAGAAAGTTAGGATCAAGCTTGTCAGGACGTGAGGTTTTTATTTCATAAGATCACGTTGCTTTAAACCTCTTTTACATCAAAAGGAGTCAAATTAAATTGCTGAACCAAATATAATTGAGGGCTGTATACTGTAAAATGAGCCTTCTGTTCATGAGGCTGTTTTGGCTCTAGATGTGAAAACTCAAATAAAGGATGTGAGGACACAAAGTGCTCACTAAAGCTGTTAAGAATGGCTGCTTTATCAATTAAAATACATGAGTCCATTACAATACAACTTTATCCTCAGATAGCTCTGCAATTACTGCTTGTCTCAGCAAATCAGCAGTGGGAGTCCTCATGTATCCTCTTTATTCTGTGTGTGTGTGTGTGTGTGTGTGTGTGTGTGTGTGTGTGTGTGTGTGTGTGTGTGTGTGTGTGTGTGTGTGTGTGTGTGTGTGTGTGTGTGTGTGTGTGTGTGTGTGTGTGTGTGTGTGTGTGTGTGTGTGTGTGTGTGTGTTGTTGTGTCTTCAGGTTAGGAGTTATTCCCGTGTTCCTCCTGGCTCTATCCATCACTTTGGCCCTGGTGTTTTTCCCTCGCAGTCCTGAGACAACCATCCCTTTAAAAGAGATAGAGGTAAGCACTGATATAACACACGTGAACACTCACTTCACAGGGAAAGCTGTTACTATAAGTGGCTCGACTGTCTCTCCTTTGTTCTGTATCTGTCCCTCTTACATGACACACTTACTTTTTCTGTTTGAGTAAAAATGAAACTAAATCCCCTAATCCAACCATTCCACTCATATCATGAGATGTTTGTTTTACAAGATAATCCAATATTTTCACTTTCTGACTCATTGTTTATTGGTTGTTTTGATTGATTGTTAGATACATCATGTGATGGAATGTGTAAGGTAAGGCTTAAGTAAGGTAAACTTATGGTAAATGCTGAATCGACTTGAGCTTGTAGCACTTTTCTAGTCTTCTGACTCTAGTCTCAAAGCACTCCTACACCGCATGTCACACACTGATGGAGGAGGCTGCTATGTAAAGTGACCATCTGAAGTAACTAATCCCATATCATACACATTCATACACCTCCGACAAAGCAGCAGGAGCAATCCAGGGTTAAGTGTTAAGTAAAGGACACATGGGACATGTTGATGCAGCTGGGGGTCAAACCCCCGACCTTCCAGTTGAGAGACGACCGACTCTACCAACACAGTCAGAGCCGCCCCCTATGGGAACTCCTGAATCTTTAAGAATAGTTGCAGTCTTCTAGAAAATTGGTCACACTTGTTATTGTGAGAAGCCTGACCAATTAATCGGTCAGCTGATACTATCGGCCGATATTAGCGTATCAAGTGACTATCGGTATCGGCTAATTTTATCACAGATATGCGGCGATATCACAAGATTTATTCACCAGCCAAAAAGCATTTCATTTGAGTTTCATTGTAAAGCATTTCTCTTTCACCAGCAGAGTGTGCTGTATGGATTACAACGAGCACTATCACTCTCCAGAGCGTCAAGCGGTGACGCACGTACTTGTGCAGTTACTTTGCAGTTGTTTGATAACTGCATTTAAGAGATAACTGTGAATCTATCTATCAACAGATCAAACATAGATCAAAGAAAGATATTTGCTAATTTATCGGTGTCAGATATAGGCCCCAAAAACTCCATATCGATCAAGACATATTTATCAGCTGAAAACAAAGCTGTGGTTTTGGGAGCTGATTGTTCAGTCTCAGTCACACATAAGGTTAGGACTAGAGATGCACTGATCCATTTTTTTCAGTTCCGATCCCAATCCAATACAAATGTACTGATACTGATTCACATACATGATCATAACTAATCATGTTATTGTTGTTGATGGTATTATATGTAAGGCTACACAAAGCTGTAGTAAACCCAGTATTGCTTTGCATTGTGCTGGCTTCACATACAGACAGGAAGCAGCAACAGCTGTCAGGTTTTTCAAAATAAATCTTTTAAACTGAAGTGTACGAATTGTACTTTCTAACATATAGAAGGAGCTGTTCCATCACGTCTGAATGTTGACATGAAGACGATTCTTACAGTTCAGTCTGAACGTCTTCAAAGTGAGACTGTGCGAGCTGAGAATGTTTAAAGTGCCCGACCGTATTTCTTGATCAGTGACGTTGATCGACACCGTCAGTCCTCGATTAGATCGGATTGGTCCCATCATCCAGTCAGGACCAGGGTGTTCTATAATCTAGTTGTAATGATAAAAGAATAAGAAGTGGCTTATCTATAAGATATTGATTTGAATTGTCAGCAAAGTAAATTCATCCCCTTAGTTACATTTAGGCAAGAATGAGTAAATTGTGATGTATTAATATGAACACTCCAAAGGCTTAATTTGATGTGAGATTTCTTGTGAACAGTTTGGTATGAAAAGTGTTCATATCATTTGACATCTAACGGTTTAAAAACGACACTGTGGCCCAAATCATGACAAGGAACTATTCCAAATGGCTATATCAGTCCAGTTATTGTTGCAGAAGACACAGACTCCTGTGTTATTGTTGTCTGTTATTGTTGCTCATGCATAATGAGAGCTTTATGTGCAGGAGTTGGAATTAAAAAAACACAGGCCTGGGATCATTTTCAGGCTTGTTGTGAGGCCATTTGGCTTCATTTACCACCAAATGTTTGGGGTACTGAGATCACTGGTTTGGAGCCCACAAACAAACGGCTTAATTTAGCTCGATGGTCACGCTCACATTCTCCTAAAAAACAAGATTTAAACATGTATCTGTGCTATATCGTTTTCTTTAAAAGGTTACTGAGTATTTTTGTGTTTGTGTGTGTGGATAATATGCGTTTGTCACTATATTTTTTATTATTTGTGATTACAAAAGAAACGGGCTCTCTCCAGGTTAGAGGTATAGGTGAATATATTAATCTTATCTGTGCTATAAGCCAGTATCCACAGCACTGTATACCTTTTAAATAGCATATGTCCCTGTGTGTGTACACTTCTGTGTATGTGCTTGTTGTAAAAAAAAAAAAAAAGGCCTGTTCTGCTTTATCTTAGTCCAACAGCAACACAGAACAAACGCTCCCCCCATGTTGCCTCGGGTCGTGCCAATAAGCCGGCCAGATCTGCCAAGCAAGCTGCCATCCCAGAGAAATAGCAGAGCAGAGCGTGTCCCGGCCAGCTCTCGTTTTTATAGCCTTTGTGCAAAGACTGAGGCAGAGCAGCAGAACAGAGAGGCTGAACATGTTCCTCATTGCATTTCTGTACAAGGAGAATACATGAAACAAGCCAATGGGAACTTCATAGAGTGATATGTGAGTGTTTTAAAGAGTTGATATTATTATTAGCTTTCAGGTCTCAACATTAATTAAAGGAGATGGTTTTACATATTTTGTGTTTGATTGGAACTGCTCTGGTGGATTTCTTCAGCCATCAAGCCCATGTGTGGCTGTAACGTCAGCTACAATATGTTGTTTTCACCAGAGACAGGTTCAGATTGTTAATCTTAAAGTATCTGACAACATAAGAGAAAAGATCCCTGACAGAGCTTTAGGTCAGTGGTCCTCAACTGGTCCAGCCTCAGGACCTACCACCAACTCCCTCATGAAAAATCGCGACCTGAGTATCAGATATTTTTTAACCAATCAGAATTGTTCAATGAAAAATGTTGCAGTTTGGACCTCAGATGGTCCAAAACGTGACAGAACATATTCACAAAATGAAAACAAACTTGTTTTGAAGCACTTCATAGACCTTTTGACACAATTTTTTCAGGCACACAATCACAACCCACTGAAAATGGCTCTGCAGAGACCGCGACCCACTTTTGGGTCCCGACCCACCAGTTGAGAAACACTGCTTTAGGTGCAGGAGAAACATGTTTGTTTAAACCAGAAACAACTGTCACGTGGCTCTCTTCGAGTTTCCAGCGTCAAAGTTGACGAGCGTCAAAGTTGATATAATTGTACCTGGACTTTCAACAGGGAGAATGGTGTCCATTTTTCCACACAGAGTGCCCCGACCGCCTGCTTTCAGCACTATATGTATTTAACTTTGGCAGCAGGCCGTGGTTCATAGACTTTAGCTAAAAAGAAGCAACTTAGCTAGTTTCAGTACTGTTTAATGAAATGGCAGAGGCTAATAGAAGGAAGAGGATGTGGATGGGTAATGCTAAATTAATGCTGCTAAATTAAATCCTGGATGTTGCTAAGTTAAATCCTGGATGTTGCTAATTTAAATCCTGGATGTTGCTAAGTTAAATCCTGGATGTTGCTTATTTAAATCCTGGATGTTGCTTATTTAAATCCTGGATGTTGCTTAGTTAAATCCTGGATGTTGCTAAGTTAAATCCTGGATGTTGCTTAGTTAAATCCTGGATGTTGCTAAGTTAAATCCTGGATGTTGCTAAGTTAAATCCTGGATGTTGCTTATTTAAATCCTGGATGTTGCTTATTTAAATCCTGGATGTTGCTTAGTTAAATCCTGGATGTTGCTAAGTTAAATCCTGGATGTTGCTTAGTTAAATCCTGGATGTTGCTTAGTTAAATCCTGGATGTTGCTAAGTTAAATCCTGGATGTTGCTTATTTAAATCCTGGATGTTGCTTATTTAAATCCTGGATGTTGCTTAGTTAAATCCTGGATGTTGCTAAGTTAAATCCTGGATGTTGCTAAATTAAATCCTGGATGTTGCTAAGTTAAATCCTGGATGTTGCTAAATTAAATCCTGGATGTTGCTTAGTTAAATCCTGGATGTTGCTAAGTTAAATCCTGGATGTTGCTAAATTAAATCCTGGATGTTGCTAAATTAAATCCTGGATGTTGCTAAGTTAAATCCTGGATGTTGCTTAGTTAAATCCTGGATGTTGCTAAGTTAAATCCTGGATGTTGCTTAGTTAAATCCTGGATGTATATATTCTCATCCTTAGTTTTTTATATTTTTAGTGCTTATTTACTTATTTATTTTGTTTTTAATATTATATTGTATTTTTTTGTGTTTGGATAACCTGCTGCTGTAACACCACAATTTCCCAGTTTGGGATCAATAAAGTGATTCTATTCTATTCTATTATTCCAAATAGAGTAAGTGACCGAGCAAGAAGATGAACTAGAGAAAATGATCGCAGAGGCTTTCCATATCCCTTTTCAAATAATGCTCCTTGTACTGGACAGAACCACATGGTGGCACATCTTGATGGGTATCACTATTAGATAGAACACCAGCTTACCACCCTCTGCTTGGCACGTTGTCTATAAGAGGGAGGCGTAACAGCACTGTGTGTAGTGGACTAAACAGAATCCTTCCATACTGTAACTGGTTAGTCTGTTTGTAATATTGCGCTGTGTTGGTTTTGTTCTATGATTAGGGTGTACCAAAGAGTTTAACACAACACAACAATACAAACTAACCTAATAGAGACAAGGTTACTTTCTTAATGTTCTTTGAGGACAAATTTCACAATTTGTTCATGTGGTCTGCAAATATGTTATTTATTTCAGACAGTCTACAGTTTAAAACTATATTATCTTGGTGGGGGCAATAACATGAACCTTAAGAAGACGCACTGATCAGGCACATTGGTCCTGAAATGTCAACTTTCTCCAACTGCTGCTAGTAAATGCCATCTTCCGTAGAAATTCTTTTAATTCATCTATTAGATATCTATAAGCCTTAAATAAGAAGAAAACATTCTACGTATAGATTTCAAAATAAAAGACCCCTAAATTTCTCCAAATTTGAAGAAGAGCTCATATTCTTTTGTTTTTTTAAGGAAGGAGACATTCATAGTTTGTCAAGTTCCCACTGTTAGATTTAATCAACACTTCACTGATGGCTTTGGGTGTATGTTAATATTTAGATCATGAGCCACCCATGATCACACGAATACACACTGAGAAAACACCCTGAAGCCAGATAATACCAGAAGAGCATCAGATATACTGCTGACTGAGGAGAGATTGCACAGGGACTGTTTTGGAATGTGTGTGTGTGTGTGTGTGTGTGTGTGTGTGTGTGTGTGTGTGTGTGTGTGTGTGTGTGTGTGTGTGTGTGTGTGTGTGTGTGTGTGTGTGTGTGTGTGTGTGTGTGTGTGTGTGTGTGTGTGTGTGTGTGTGTGTGTGTGTGTGTGTGTGTGTGTGTGTGTGTGTAATCTGCTGGTGTCTCGGAGAGGTGGGGATGATGTATACCGTCTCTTATGGTTGCATTTAACACATCTCACTTTTTAATTTGCCAATTACACAGCAAGCAGGAGCCCAAAGTGTGGGCCATGTTTTATTAATGTGCTACTGAGCGCATGGGTGGGAGCAGGCAGGCAGGAGGGGGTATAAAACCACCCCCACCCCGAGTCTGGGACTGGCCTAATTGGCACTGTGATATTTTACTTTTGTTAAACAGCATGAGGTTAGATTTTTCATATACACTGATTTTCTTCTCTACTGCCTTTAGATTTCTGGTTTTGTCTGTTTGTCTATAAAGCAGGCTACTGTTTATGATCACTTTAGTTATTAGCGTCCTTCTTTCTGGACTTGTCAACACTTGGGAGAACAATTGTCAGTAGCAGAGTTTCCTTTCTGGAGCAGAGTGAAGGCATACTATTGTAATGTAAAGTTTTACAAAGGATCAGAGTCTGGGGTTAAAGGGTAAAATATATAGACTTATAGAACATGGGGGTCATCTCAGTGACATCACCCTTTGGTTACTAAAGTGGAATTTTGAAGCCAAATGATTACAGTGACCATATTGAAAATGCTGACAGACTCTTTCTTTCAGTCAAACTAGAAACAGTAAAGAGGTTGAGCTAAGGCGAAAAAAGCCCCCATACAGTGTGTGCCAATAAAGACAAGAACTATTTAGACCAAAATTGTTTTTCAAACCAGTCTGTAAACATGCTTACTGCAGTTAAAATTGACATTTTAACATGCGGTGTATGTGACTTTCGGGCTTTTGAAGCCAGTGGAGGAGGCCTTGAAGTTCTGCGTTTTGTTTTCTAGATTAAACCCTGTTAGGTTAAGCAGGAAAGTTGCTCCTATTGTACAAATATGTAAACCTCAATTTTGAGATGTGTGTTTTGTGTTTTATGAAACACAGTTTGTACTTTTTAATGTTTTAATGAAACTCAGACTCGGGCAATCACAATACTCCTCGTGCACAATGCACAATTCTGTTTCTACATGCTTCCTGATGAGCCTGCAGTAGGACGTTATTTCTTCCATCATTGTATCATTTAAGACCAAAGCTGAACCTTTTCTAGAATGTCTGACCCAACTCTGTTGACCCATTCACTTTAACAACAGATTAGACAGTCATCATAAGTATCTTTAAGGATGATCAGAAGTGACATCTAATACTTTTCTGAAATGCTACGGTTAGCAGCAGTTGCTATAGTTTTTAAAGATGAAGGTTCAATCAGAAAAAGTTGTCTCATCAATGGACAGATAACGTCTTAAAACTGGTGCTACAGGTCTGCTATGTGAGACGTAATGAAGGGATTTAAAAAACAAAGTCAACTCATTCTTTTTGAAGTATATTTGGTTAAATTCCAACTTTCAGGGCATCACTGACATGCCTGTATTTTTGTCTGTGGGCAGATTCTCAGGCTTGTGGGGCATCACTCTGCACAAAGGCTCTGTGACAGCTCTCTGCTGACATCTGGTGGCCGAGAGAGAAAATGTGTCACCAGCCATGTGCATGTGTAAAATATTAAGAAGTATAAAAATGCTGTTGTGTTATAAGTAAGAACTTCTAACAGTGAGTGTGTTTCTTTCTCTCTCTACAGATCGTGGACACTTTGTTCATCGGGCGTTACATCCTGTTGGCGGTGGCGAGCCTTGTCTTCTTGGTGGCATTCTTCATGCTGCTCCCTTTTCATCTCCTGGAGCCCGTCCATGCCAAGGCCTTAAGAACACACTAGAGCTGCCAGGGTCAGAGCTGGCACCAGTAACACATCACCAACGTACAGAACTCTAACACACACATGGCTGATGAGAGGGGGGAGGGGCTTCACATGGGAACAAAATGAAGAATGCAAGCCAAACAGAAACAGCAGGAGAGACGGTGCTTTGATAACAGCCTGTAGGTTGTTGACTGTCTTAAAAACAAACTGAAACACAAATGAGAGGAGCAACAGTGTGTTTGTTACTATTCCAGATCATCAAAAACATGAGATGAATAAATTGTTTCTTATTCTACACGTGTGAAGCACTCCTGTAATCCCTGCTCGACCAGCGCTGACAAGTGGAAGCGAAAAGTTCAGACACTAATGACGGATAATGAAACGCTGTTTAAAAGGTATACAGTGCTGTGGATACTGGTTATAGCACAGATAAAAAAAAACAGTGAACTCTGTGTAAATATATTTTATTGTCTGATTTAAAGCTGTCTGAAGCACTGAGACAGTTTTTTCTTTCAACTGGACCAACTGATGAGCAGCTTAAATGTAACTTTAAGACTTTATAAATGAATCTGAAATAAAAGTGACTGGGAATGAAAAGTGCATAAAGCCAGCACTGGTTTGAAACATGAAATGATCGATACAGAACATACTGTAGTACCTTCCGAATAAAATCAACTTTTAAAGAGGAAAATTAGAATTTACTAGTTCTCCAGATTGTTCTCTTCTAAAATACTGACTATATGGTTGGAAATGTCTCACTTTTGTCTTAACTTTAGTATATTTTAGGAGCATTTATCTCAACATTGTGAATTTGTTTTTAAGGCTAGTTTATTTATATAGGACCGTTTAGACACTAGGCAAATTAAAGTGAAGAACAGCAACATGAAGAGCATTTCATACAATAATATGTGTTTGCATTTAAGAAATACACAATTCATACGCTATTCACTATCACATACTGTACACAAACATGCAAACATAAGTAACATATAAGTGTGTACATGCATGTACACAAACACATGATTTAAATGTTCTGAGAAGGTGAGGTAAGAACAGTCGGGTCAACCAAGACAAAACAGTTGACATTGTTCTGCAAATACAATCCCCCTGAGGAAGGCTCTTTTTTGCATCTACACTTGGGTTGTTACCCGTCTTGTTTTGAAACATGTCTGGACTATGTTTCTAACATATTCACAATGAAAAGTTTTTATTTTTTCCTTAAAGAGGGGCATTTGTTCTCTCCCTGTGTCCCCGCCTTTAGAGGGCCTTTTTTTTTCACACTTTGCTTGAACTTCTCTGCACTCAAAATATTCTTTCCAACGGCATCAAATGGTAATCAACAAGGCGTTTATGGTGCAGTTACTGAAAAAAACAACACGTTTACTCATCAACTAGTCAAAGAGTCATCAAACATCCCATCGACAACGACAAATAGAAAATAAACTATAAGGGATAAATCTCATTCAGGAGAGTCCCCATTAGTTTAAATATAAAGTAAATTGCTTTGTTGTCAGTTTACATGATTATATGGCACTCTAGTATTCTGATTGGAACCTTTCTTTTTTCGTTTTCTTTTTTTTTTTTTAAAGATTTCTTTTTGGGCTTTTTGTGTCTTTATTAGAGAGATAGGACAGTGGATAGAGCCGTAAACCAGAGAGAGAGAGAGAGAGAGTGGGGAATGACATGTGGGAACAGGTTGGATTTGAACCTGGACCCGTACATGGGACAGGCGCACTAACCACTGCGCCACCAGCGCCCCTAATTGTAGTTTTCTAATAACGTGCACTCACTTTTGTGCAGAATCACTTCTCTCTGGCGGCCGACAGTTCAAACCTGTCTGAGCTGCACATCATCATCCCCTTCCCCGCTCATCATCTTAATGCCTGTTGAGGTTATTTTAGTGTCTGATCAGCTTCTAAGTAGGGCTGGGAAATTCATCAGATTTCAATTATGATTTTTGTCTTCCCACAATCATGAAAACAAGATGATCGAGATGAAACGACTGCTGTGCATGTGGTGTCGCGCTCGTTTTGTCATGTGTGGTAAATGTTTCAAAGTGTTTGTTGTTATATTTAGGTTTCCACCTTTCTAGAATCTACATAAAGAATAGATTGTGCATACGTAACCTGCAGCTGTAGATGTGGCCAGTTAGAAACAATACATTTCAATTTGACATTTTAGTTCCACCATTGAATCATATCCTGTGCTGTGTTAAACACATCACAGCATTCAGATGTTTATGATGCATATTCCATGCGTAGTAAAAAAAGAAAAGCAGATGATTCCTCAGTGAGTAATGAGCTTTTGCAGTCTAGAGGCTCAATTATAAACACTTGCCCCCCTCCCACCTCCATTTTTAAAAGTGTGAAGCCCGAGGAGACGTGGAGTGGAATTCCAACCAGGACGATGAAAGAGAATCTAATGAATCAAAACCAATCCTATTAGTTCCAGCCCACATCTCTAAACTGTGGTCCTTTTTCTGCACAACAATCCGGCGCATGATTTCACACAAGCTGGGGAACCTGGGGGGGGGGAGGGGGTTTCAGCAGGATGGGATAGTGGATCTGAAACCTTACAACCTGGAGGGACTTGTTGCCTGTAATTGACCGCATGATTACCACAAAACATGATCTTACCCCCTGCAGAAAGTGGCACTGAGGAACCAGACATCTAGAGAGTAACTGAGACCGAAGAAAGCAGTTCAGCAGGGACAGAAATCCTCTTTACCTTCAACAGGAACTCTCTATCGATATCTACAAAATCATCTTTTTAAGAAGATTCATATACAGTTTTTATTATAAGGTCACAATGCAAAAGATGTTCACAATATTTCTCTTTAACTCAAGAGCTCTGCAATCCCTGAGGTGTCCCAAGGTCTGACAGTCCTCCTCCCTCATTCACACACTCTCTCTCTCTCTCTCTCTCTCTCTCTCTACCTAACCTTTTTAATCTCTCTCCTCCATCCTCCCTGTCTTTCCTCTCCTCATTTTCATTTTTGAGACTAAACTCTGTCTTTAGGGGGAGTGGGAAAATGAGCAGAACAAAGCGCGTGGGGGTTTTGAGGATCATTTGGAAACTGGGAGACATGTCTTTGTGGCGCAGCCAGCTGGACATATAAAAGAGACCGGGGTGGGGGGGCGGGCGAGAAAGAGAGGGGAGCAGTGCGAGGGGCAAAGAGGTGTGAGCAGAAAGCTCAGGGTGCTTGGTTTTGTAGACTGTGGAGGGACCGGGGGGTTTTGCTGCTCTCGGGGTAGATCCTGCATTCAGATGCACTCAAGCAGAACTCCTGGCTTGCCGTTCACATCCTCGACCATCTCGCCCCCCTGTTTGTGATACCGTCACCGCCCCAAAACCCCGGCTCTCACAACACAACAACAACCATCCATTAAAGGATTTCAGGAAAAGGATTTTCGGTGCACTTATCCCCGATAGAATGTTTTTCACTTCATGTTAAATCAAGCAGATGGCAATGTTTGCAGTCCTTTCAGGAAGTTTGGTAAATAAACTCGATGAGTGCTCCATGGGGGGTAAAACTAAAAATAAACAAGTTCATTCGAAATCCGTTACAGGCTCGGTTTAAATAAAGGTTTATTAGCAAGAAATGGATGTTTGGCAGACCTGAGGACTTTGGAGTTCACAGGCAGGGTGCTTGTCAAAGCTGTGAAAAGGTTTGGGAAGGGACGCGGAGTTGAACCGAGTCCCGGTCACCCGAGTAACAAACTATGCAGATTCAGGGCCAGGAAACGTTTTTTTTCTCAGCGCTGCTTGTTGTTGCACTTTTGCTTATACCAGGGATGCTATCATTAACACACACTGGGGGGGGGGGGGTCAGAATCCTCAAACTGAGATCTTGGTGTCGCCCTGGCCTTTTACCTCTCTCTCTCTCTCTCTCTCTCTCTTAGGGAGGATTTGCCTCTCAGTGGGATGATGAAGGCCCAGATTAGAGGTCAGGTCGCACACCAAAGGCCCTCCGCTGCTCGGACACGACGCCCCATCGAGGGGTCCGAAACTCACCCTATGGGGAGGTCCGTTGTGACAGTGTTGGGGGGACATGATTGAGTATTGGCCAGGCTTGGAAAAGGCAGTGGCTACGATGATCAAAGAAGATGGTCACAATAGTTGAACATGGGTGGTCACAGTGGTCCACAGAGCATGCTCACATCTTATAGGACTCCAATAAGCTTATGTTTTTACATTGTAGCTACTGAGCTTAGTGACATAAAAGATCAAAACTCACAAAACTAAAGTTTTAAATTACTTGGCATTTATAATGAATACATAAAAATGTAATGTGACACTATAGACAATAGGATTAGATTTTAAAGGGGACACATAATGAAAAATCCACTTCTACAGTATTTTTGAATATATATTTGGGTAACCTGAGTGTCTACCGACTCCACAAAATGTGAAACAAACCCATCCACAGATGTTTCATTTAGACCATGGGACTGTTTGAAAAGGTGGAAAAGGGGGATAATACTGTATGTCCTATTTGACTATAGAATTGCATGACTTACTGTGGTAGAGTTTCTTTTTTTTGTACCTGATGGGCATTCTTACAACTTTTTGGATAAACTGGTTAATTGACATTACTCTTCCTTCATATTGACCTACACGACTTCCAGGATAAGCATGGAGGTATGGTGGTTAACTCTGCCGTTCAAAGATGGTTTGAATCAAGAATCACTGCAAGAGCCTTTCTGTGTGGAGTTTACATGTTTTCACAGTGAGGACTCTGACTTCCTCCCACGGTCCAAAGACATGCTCGTTAGGTTAATTGGTGACTCTTAATTGCTCTGGTATGAGTGTTTCCTATCTTGACAACCCTGAGAATGACAGGCAACCAGGAAGGCCCCTGTCCGACCGCGGAGGTTAAAGTCTTTATATGCAATTTTTTACACTTAAATGTAATAGAAATCAAGTATATCCTCTGAAAATAACTCTGTGAGTCATGACTGTCTACAATGGGTGTAACACCCGAGTCCCACTGTCTGTGATGTTTTCAGAGTTTTCAGAGTTCTATCTTCAGTTTGTTTACATCGCCCGGACGGCCAGCTGACTCCTCCCCTCACGTATAAAAGTTGTTTAATTGAGGGACTAGAGAAAAGAAGAATAACATACTGTACTCACTGCTTAACTGTGTTTCTAGATCACGCTCATTTCAGGTAAATTTACATGCAGTGTGAAGATATGAGCATAATAAAGATCGCTAGCATTAGCATGCTAACACAACAATGCAGCGCAAGTTGTTTTGGTGTCATGCTGGTGCTCAAGGGCGACATCTGCTAGATCAAAAAAATCACATATAAAGCCTTTAAGGCATATATTGATCAATTGTTTCCCCAATTAAAGCTCTCAGTTGCATTTAGAAATCAATCAATCAATTTGTATTTATAAAAACTTAAAACAGGACACTTCACATTTCCAATATTTATCCAAGTTTTACCAAAACAAAGCGTTCTGCACCGTAAATGAAACATGTTTCCATAATGTCTGATGATATAGTTAGGTCATTTTATGATTTGAGTATTTGATCTGAGATTTCAGTAGTTATCAGATTGGACCTTTAGATTAGAATACAATCTTAAAGACTGGTTAGACAAACACATCATGTTTCGATGAGATGCCATCCCTTTGTTTTGTTTA